TGAGACTTTTTGAAAAGGATAATAACATAGAGAAAAGACGAGGACTATATTGATCTGTAAAGTTTACATCTATCTATGTTAATTACAATAAAAATAAAAAAAATATCGATACTTGACCATATCGATTTTTTTCATATCGATATTTTGGTACATCCCTACAATTCCAGAAAATCCCGCGTTTCCGCCATATTAAACACAAAACCGTTATCTAAACGTAACATCTTTTTCAAAGTCAACACAGCCGCAATAAAAGGGGGGCAAATCCATTCTCTATATGAAAAACAAACGCCGGACATTTTGTTGGGGATGTTCGAGACTTAAGGGTGAGTTTGTATAATTTATATTCCATTAAGTTATGGATAAAAGGGATGGGGAGGGTGTAGGGGAAATGGGAGGTGAGAATGTGGGGAAAGGTTTTGAGTAGTGTTGATTTTAGAGTTCGATACACGCCTAGACTAAATAAAAGGAGAGATTATTTTCTTAAGGTATTTTATTTCGTACCTTAAGAAGGATTGAATTCAATGTTTTACGTTCAGGATTATACGATCATGTTTAGTGTTTTTCTAAGAGTCTTGAAAACTATCAAAAAATAGCCAGAAATGTGAAATTTTTCGACTTTTTTCCAACATGGTCACTGATTTTCATGAACCTACTGTTAATTACTTATTAAAAGGCGTAGAACACGAAACTACAGGCCATTTAATCATATATGAGTTCAGTAAGACCTGGCGGTACCATTTTAGCTAAGAATGAAAAATCGTTCGAAAACAAGGGTTTGAAAAATCCAGTTTCTTACAAAACCTAAAGACTTAAGCTATTAAAGCGTTATATATTCTAAATCTACATAAAATTTCCTACAAATGCTGAAATTTTCATAAATTTTCGACCATGTTTACTATGTTTCTCAGAGCCTTGAAAACTAGTAAAAAATAGCCAAAAATTGGCAATTTTCAAATTTATCGATTTTGGTCAGATCACCAATTTTGATGAAGCTACTGTTAACTACTAATTAAAAGGCGTAAAACACGAAAATATAGGCCATTTTGATCTTAAGAGTTCAGTATGACCTGTAGGTATCATTTAAGCTAACCATGAAGAATCGTTCGAAAACATAGGTTCGAAAAATCCAGTTTTCTACAAAACATAGCAGCTAAAGTTATTAAAGCAGTATATATTCTAAATATACATAAAATTTCATACAAATACTGAAATTTTCATAATTTTACGACGATGTTTACTATGTTTCTCAGAGCCTTGAAAACTAGTAAAAATTATTATTCAAATTTTTTTTGTAAGCAACGTTTTAGCTAACTATGTAAAAGAAAATATGTTTCTTTTATACAGATCTACCAGTCCTTAAAAGATTTACACGTATTTAAAAATACACCCTGTATTCAATTACAGAAACCCTCAGACTATTTAAATTTACATTAAAATTTATTCAGTATTTGAAGTAAAGATATTTTGAAAAAATAACACCTATTACGTTTAAAAAAATAAAGACCTTAAACAGGGAAAAACATATGGGGTTCAAAAACTGACCTACTTACCTAGTTTTGTTTGTCTTTGATGTTACAGTTTTTTTCAGAGTACGTTTTATGGTAATTCTCGCAGAATAGAAACATGCGCTTGCGATTCTACATAGAGAATGCTTGGAATTACTAGAGAGACTATCTTGGCAAAGGACTTTGCTTACCCTAAATCCAGAAACACGCATATTAGCTGAATTTTGACAAGACAAAGGGGCAACATTTGTTCCTTACGTCATTGTATACTATACCTGGTGATTAAATAAAACTTTTGTGAGAATAATCATAAAGTTTAACGTTGTTTTTTTAACCATTTGAAAAAAGAAAAGAGTTATTTTTTATACAAGACGATAATGCAATTTTATCGTCGTGTATAAAACAATTTTTTTTCCATAGCGAATTACGTTTTAAAAAATATTCAGAAATTATTATTTCAAGGAATTTATTACAAGTAGAAAAAATATTGTGCTGGGTTGGCGTTGATTTCTACGTAATTTATCTCTGTAGTTGTCAGTTTTGAGTCAGTATTTTTTAATTCTCTTTCGTGTCGATTGCTGATTGAATTGGAGCCAGAAATGGCTCAAAACGAAATAAGTAAATTACCAACAGATATTCAGGCTGAGGCGACAAACGCCATATCCAAACTACTTCCATTTAAATCCCGAATAACTTATGAAAAGGAATACAAAAATTTTCAAAAATGGAGGCAATTAAAAAACGTGCGAGAAGAAATAAAGTTTTTAATCTATCCTCGCTGTTAAAGTATCATTTAATCTACCCTTGCGGTTAAAGTACTATTTTATCTACTATTTTTGATAGATATAAGGCAATTTTAACAGTTGCTATGGAAAAAAAAGCTTACTATGGCACTGTTTCCTTTGAATCCCACAGTATATGTAAGGTACAGAAGCGAAACTCTTTATTTTAGAAGAAAAAAAAACAGAAAGCAGCATTTTAGAACGGTTCCAACCACAATATTACTTCTGCGCTTACTGTGACATTATTTCCCCTGAATCACACTGTATATGTGAGATATAGGGGTGAAACTCTTCATTTTACAGCTGTTTATGTCACCTGTTGATGTAAACTAGCACAATTACTACCCGCCAACACTAATCATCCCCAGGATTGGAAATTATTCAAATTTCCCACAAGGGCTAAACGAAACAATTATTTCAGTGAGCATGTGTGGGTGCATGTGTAAATTATGTGTTTAGTCAGGGAATTGCGTCCATGAGGGTCGATAGAAAACAGGATGTAACAAAAAATATAATTTTCATATAGAAATATAATGAAAAAGAGACTCTTTTCAAAAATTTTGCCACTGTAGGAAAATCTACAAAATAAAATATTTTATTAATTGAGTTATTTTTTGTGCTGCGTTATGTAAAACAACAAAATAAAATATACGTGTTTAAGAGTTTTTACGAGAAACTCACCGGTTTTTAAATTAAAAGTATTTTAATATTTGAGGGATAGTTTCACCCCCTTAGAATTCGAGTTTCGAAAAATCCCTTCTTATCGAAACTCTACACCCTAAAGTCAATCTGTTTTCCAAAAATCAGCTTTTTCGTCAAGCGCTTTAAGCAGGATCGTGATTAATCAATGACCAGATTTTTCGAACCACCCTGTATATATTTTTAAAAAATCTTAAAATATGTAAAAAAAGCGTTTTTTCGGAAACTTGACCGTTTTTTAAATAAAAAATATTGTAATATTTGAGGGGTGGTTTCACCCTCTTGGAACTGGAATTTCGAAAAATCCCTTCTTATCGAACCTGTACACCCTAGAATCAACCTGTATGCCAAAATTGAGCTTCTTACGTTGAGTGGTTTGAGCAGGATCGTGATTAATCAGTATGTCAGTCACTTAAGGATTTTATATATTAGTATAGATTTCATTATAATAAAATTAAATAATAAACATATTGTAATTATATTCCTATCCTGCAGATTGAGTGAAATGTTTTGTTCTTAAATATCTACTCTACATATTATAAACGCACGATCAAATATTAATCTTGTGGAAAACGAAAAACGAGATGTAATTAACGAAATATCATCGTAAAAACGTCTAGGTTTACTTATTTCACTGATATTTATGAAAAAAAAGTCCTTTGCCTCGGGTACAGATACCGCCACGTTTTGGAAATAGCTCAGAACGAAAGAAAATTGAACGAGGCAACAGGAAACGCCAAAAAAATTCCCCCACCCTCTCCGCATGATTAGTTTTTAGGCACTTTTAAAAATCGAAAGTAGGTCGAGACAACTGGGAATAAACTGAAATGCGACAAAATTAGGCGACGAAATGCGACCTTGACCAGCTTCGAAGAGTTCTCCGTATAGTGTGTGTTTTTTGAAGAAACATACTTCTTCCCTGATTTTTATGTTATTTTTTTTTCCAGTGTATATTTTAAATTTTACAGAAAAAAATCAAAATACACATAACCTATCAATTTTTTGTTCAAAACAAATCGAGGAATAAACTAGGGTGTAATCCAAAGGCAAACAAGAGCAATCTATATAAATCTTTTCACGTTTGTTTCCACGGAGCATACATAAAAAAACAATCAAAAAATCGTTCCTTTTATCCATAGGTATGCGCGTTTTTATCCCGTCCAAATTTTTCACTGCTTTTTTTTTATTTGACAGATCGATGTGACATTCAGTTCAGTGTACAATAGAACTAGTCATCGCCGGATACTTTTTTATCGGTTTTTGTTCACTCACGTATATGCCTATTAATCCTTTTTTTAAACTCTTTTTTTAATCTTCGTACAAGCTACTGACCTGATTAAAAGCTGATAAAATAACCAAACAACCATTAAATAGATTGAATTTTTTTTTCATAGCAACTGTTAAAATTGCCTGATATCTATCAAAAATATTAGATAAAATAGTACTTTCCGCAAGGGTAGATTAAATGATACTTTAACAGCGAGGATAGGTTAAAAACTTTATTTCTTCTCGCACGTTTTTTAATTGCTTCCATTTTCAAATTTTTGTATTCCTTTTCATAAGTTATTCGGGATTTAAATGGAAGTAGTTTGGATATGGCGTTCGTCGCCTCAGCCTGAATATCTGTTGGCAATTTACATTTCATTTTGAGCCATTTCTGGCTCGAATTCAATCAGCAATCGACACGAAAGAGAATTAAAAAATATTGACTCAAAACTGACAACTAAAAACATGACTAAAACAAGTAGTTTTAGTCATGTTTTCGTTCATGTAATGTTTCATGGCTAATCTTACTTAGTACTTGCCCAAAAAATTCTTTCTTCTTTTTTATTATAGTCTCCACGATAACATCTTTTGTTTATAATCTTTTAAACACAGAATTTGTTAATAATAAACTTGCAATACGTTTATTACTAATTTATTTTTTTATAAGACTAACTTTACTGACTGTATATTTTCAACAGATATTAAAGAGACAATAAATTTAAAGCTATTTTAATATTTTTTGTTACAGAATTGATGCCAGGGTACAAGTCAAGATGAACCTGTCCACGTACAATGAAAACCTTTCTGTAAATTATTCACAGAATACCAGCCTATCACCGTTTAGTCCAAATTATACGTTAGAAGGTAAGATATATACAGCGTGTTTAAAACAACGAGTGACCTTATGAGTAAATTTATAGATTCTTTAATGCGAGTTTACTACAATAATTTGTTGCCGTTTGTTTTGCAGTCAAAGAAGTCAGAAGTACAAAAGTTCTTTTTTGTAATCATGTTTCTTTTTATAGAAAAGTGAATATAGAATATTCTTCTCTTAGTCAATGAAAACATATACAGGGTGGCCCATCGAAAACGTTCCGCAATGCATAACGGCCAGGGTAATTTTTTTTTTCAGAAATTTCGCGAAACTGGTTCCGTTATGAATAAAAAGAGGCAGAATGAAAATCCTGTAGTAAATGAAGCTATGGAGGTATTCGTATTGGGCGAAGTTGCCATGGATAATACGCTGAGTACAAGAAAATTAGCCAATGAGACCGGCGTGAATCCTACAAGTATCCAAAGGATATTAAATAAACACAAGTTCCATCCGTACAAAATCCAGTTGGTACAAGAACTCAACGAAGACGATTTTGATCGTCGCGGGCTGGTATTTTTGGAAATTCTATTGTAGGTCCGTTTAACGCTATTAAGACCGCACCTGATCGTTCAAACTTGAAAGAACATCTAGAAAGAATAAGAAAAAAACCCGCAAATTGGTCCTTCTATCATTTACTCTGATAAATGTTTAAATAAACTTTTCAAATTTCAATCCTTCATATTTTCTCAATGACTCGACCGATTTTCAAAAACGAAGCGGGGAAATATAGAGAAAGCTCTTTTCATTGCTGTGCCACTTGACCCCCCTTCCCATTTGAAAAAAGTTGGGGGATGACACCCCCGTTTGGAGGGTTGAAAACTTTTTTGGTGCAAAACAAAATTGACGTGTTTTTGGATTTTTTGAATAAAAAAATATCCTGGCCGTTATGCCTTGCGGAAGGTTTTGTCACCCTGTATATAGAATGTTCAGCCATCGTTCAATGTGACGTCATATATTGTCGAACTCTCTCAATCACTTGACGACCAGATGAAAGAGATTGGCGACGTCATTACGGCATTTCGTAAATTACAGCATATTTTTTTGGTAATTGCCATTGTCATTTGATTTGGGGTTATAATTTTATTGACGGACATCGATCAATGTCAAAATTAAACTTTGATCGTTGCTGGAAAACAAAATTCAAATTTTTTTATTGCAAAAATGCCTCAAAGATTTAATCAAAATGAACCAGAGCTCATTGCAAAGGTTATAAACTATTTTTCTCGAGAATGAGACGCTCGTAGAACACTCTTGCCCGTGGTCGCCGTATTTGAAGTAAGCACAATGCAAAGATGTAATATTCCCATGTAAAATACAAACCGATAGCGTTTTTAAACAATATAGCGAGTTGCTGATGCTTTAAAAATAGGAATTTCAACAATCTAAATGATTGGAACTAAAGGGATCATAATAACTGATGAAGAGTTCAAGAAAAAAATAATAAATCCCGAAAAAAAACGAAACTCGCTCAATAAATAATATAGAAACGTACTTAAAATTTTCTAAACAATATGAAGTGATCTCGGACACGCCCTAAAGCTGATATTTTGACAAATAATGATGACGTAGCGTTGAACGATGACTGAACAGTCTCTACACATACGAGTATTATGTTTTAAATAAATCACAATTTAATTAAAATTATGTTCAAGAAGAACAAGTACCTTGTTCGTCCACCTCGCTTAAGCCAACTGAACAACACTGAAGAGAGCTCTTTTAAAATTAATTAACTTTTGATTAACTTTCATTGCTGTTGAACAGCACACACACATCGTCTCCGTTGAAAATACGTGTTGTAATTCTTGTTGTTTGCCTTTTCACATTCTAACGCAGGAAAGTTTTATTCATAAATGTTATAGAGTTAATTTTAATCACACACATTTGAGAGACAAAAAGAAACTTTGGCTTGTCGAATTTTATGCATTTTATTTGCGGAATTATATTAATTATTTTTGATTAAGTTGACAGACAAATCTTTAGTTTTTACTAGATTATTTTGTTTTTACATTAATGATGGCTTGCTTCTTGGACATCTGATGATATTTCACAATATTATCTATCCCCTTTTTATATTATTTCATATTATGTATGAGTATTTTAGTTGAAAAAATTGTTGAGTAGTACAACCAACTGATTTTTGTTACATTGGTAGTCCTAATGGTATGTTCCATCAACATCTGAAGACATGGAAGGCTTTTTGCTATACAACTACGAGTATACAGGGTGGTCCAAACTGTATTCCGGAAACTTCGGCAGCATATTCTGCAGATAAAAATAAATAAAAAATTGTATGTCCTAAAATGCTTAGTTTTGGAGATACAGGGTGTAGAAGTTTCATTTTTATTTCGATTTTTTCCAAATAATTTCAGAAGTAACGTCAATATTTGGACGAAAATTGGTGTCTGGGAGCTTTTTAACATGAGAAAATTGATTTTCATGTCAATATGACTCCTACTTATAGGGGGCGCCTCCTACATGTATTTTAACTGGTTTGAAGAGTAATAACTTTTTGTCCGTACCTGTATAAAACTAATGAGTAAAAAAATATACATTTTAGACGTTTTTTACGTAAAAAAGGCCTCTTTGTAAAAATCGCTACGGGTAATGGTTCTCGAGATATTTGGAATCGAAATTATCAATACCTGTCATCATTGACATAAATTAAACATATATGTTGACTAAATAGTTATTAAACTGAAATTCTAAATTTGAAACGTTCTTCCAAAAGTTCACCAGAAACTCTTTTATCACCATTTTTTCGCGGAAAAAACTATGATTGATTTAAACACATAAAAATTTTTCAAATTTATTATTTCAGCCAAATAAACTATCTACAAAACGTGTTTATTTTTTGTATTGACTATTTCCATTTTAAATATCTTGAGAACGATTGCTAGTAGCGATTTTTACCAAGAGACATTTTTTACGTAAAAAGTCACGGAGATGTATATTTTTTCACTCAGTAGTTTTATACAGGTACGGACAAAAAGTTATTGGCCTTCATAACCGTTAAAACACATGTAGGTGGCGCCCCCTGCCAATAGAAGTCATATTGACATCAAAATCAAATTTCTCATGTTAAAAAACTCACAGGCACCAATTTTGAGCCAAATATTGAAAGTACTTCAGAAATTATTTGGAAAAAATCGAAATAAAATTGAAACTTCTACACCCTGTATCTCCGAAACTAAACATTTTAAGACATACATTTACACGAACTTTTTTACTTATTTTTATTCGCAGAATACGCTGCCGAAGTTTCCGGAATACAGTTCGGACCACCCTGTATATCAACCAAATATAAAATTATGTTTTTTTCTCAACATTTTATATTTGCTGGAAACTTTATTTCTTATCTTTTACTATCATTTGATAGAACAAACATACCAACGATAATGCTTGAAGACAAGAGACATTAAATATAAAACTATGCTTCTTCATGCTTGAAATCCGAACGCATAAATGTTCTTTCTTTACAGACAGGATCCAATTTATTTTGCCAGTATGGCGACAGATTTTATGGAGCATTCTGTACGCTGGAATGGTCATCGTGGCTACGGGGGGCAACCTAATAGTAATATGGATAGTCCTAGCCCACAAAAGAATGAGAACGGTGACAAACTATTTTTTACGTAAGTATTCTAGATTTCAGATACTTTTTCATACTTTTTTATATATTTTTTTCTTCAGAACCAGAAATAGAGTGAATTATACACCGGGTGTTGCATCGTCGAGCGGGATATAGGAAATCCCATGTAAATTTTAATGGGGTCAATTATTGGCTTCCCTAATTATTTTAGAGAATAATTCTATTTAGGTTTATTGAAGAGCACTAAAACCCACATTCAAAAGAATAACTTGGTATATTTTTGATTAGTCCGTTTAAGAGTTATCGCCGATTTCTTTTTAAATATTTCTCCTTTCTTATGGCCCTGTATTTACTTATGAGCACCAGTCAAGGTAAAAGATAACTGTCAAATGAAGTTGTCATTTCAAAAATTTACCTATTTAGTGCTTTATTATTATTGAAAACTCATACCTACATCGAAAATATTAGCCATGAATTACACTACCGAAGAAAAAGTATTGATGATTAAATATGGTATTATCAAGGAAATAGTTATCAAAAGGTGTCGGGCATGTTTGCTGCTCTGTATCCGAATAGACCGATACCTGGAAAATCTACAATCGCAAGGAATATCCAGAGATTTGAGACCAAAGGTACCCTAATAAATAACTGCAGATGTGAAGCAAGGCAGGAACAAAGAGAAGATGCAAGAAATGATACCGACTTGGAAGTTTTATTGTGCGTGGAAGAGAACGATGGAAAGATCAGCACAAGGAAACTTGAGGATGAAATAGGAATAGATCACACTACAGCGTTTCGAATTTTGAAACGACATAAATACTATTCCTTCAAATATGAAAAGCACCAAGAGCTACGAGATGGGGACGAAATACGGCGACAGGCGTTTTGTTTTGATATGATGGAAAGAGCAAACACGGATAGGGAATTTTTAAAAAAACATATGTTTCACTGACGAATGCACGTTTACCTAAAACAATGAACCCAGTGTTCAAAATTATCGATATTGGAACAAAGAAAACCAACACAGGTTTGTCGAAACAAGGACGCAATATCCACAGAAAGTAAATGTTTGGGCAGGGATATTCGGACATTATCGGGCCATTATTTCTTACGCCAAATTTAAATGCAGAATATTATTTGGAACTATTCGAAAATCATATTTTACCTGCTTTACATGATGCCGCTAGGGAAAATCAGGAAGTTTGGTACCAAATGGATGGCTGCCCGGCACATAGTACCCTGGCTGTTCGGGAATATTTAGACAATAGTTTTAACGGAAACGTTATTGGCCTAAATCATACAGTAAATTGGCCAGCAAGGTCTCCTGATATTTCGCCAAATGATTTCTTTCTCTGGGGCCATTTAAAAAACAGGATATACAAGGATAAAAAATTTCCAAATCTAGACGAGTTAAAAAATGCTATTTCTGCCGAATGCAATAGAATTTCAGTTTACCAACTAGCGAATGTAAGAAGAGCATTTTATGATCGTCTGGGTTATTGTCTAGCAGTCGTTGGAGGAATATTTGAACATCTTCTTAAATCCTAAAGTTCTAACAATTTAATAGTACCTAAATTAATAACTTATTGAATATTGTAATAATACTATAATTAACCTTGTAATTGATTATTTTATTTTACTTTAATTCATATTAATTTGTACATCTTTAAGATTTCCGATGTAGGAATGTGTTTTCAATAATAATAAAGCACTAAATAGGTAAATTTCTGAAATGACAACTTCATTTGACAGTTATCTTTTACCTTGATTGGTGCTCATAAGTAAATACAGGGCCATAAGAAAGGAGAAATATTTAAAAAGAAATCGGCGATAACTCGTAAAAGGGGTAATCAAAAATATCTAAAGTTATTCTTTTGAATGTGGGTTTTAGTGCTCTTCAATAAACCTAAATAGAATAATTCTCTAAAATAATTAGGGAAGCCCATAATTGACCCCATTAAAATTTACATGGGATTTCCTATGTCCCGTCCGACGATGCAACACCCGGTATACATATATTACTTTTTTTGCAGTAAATCTGTCAGTAGCTGACACCATGGTCTCTACACTGAACGTCACATTCAACTACGTGTACATGCTGTATTCCTATTGGCCGTTTGGGGAGCTCTACTGCAAAATCAGCCAATTCATTGCGGTGTTGTCGGTTTGTGCCAGTGTGTTTTCCTTGATGTCTATATCTATTGATAGGTAAGTTTTGATGCAAAATACAACTTCGATCGCCTTGTACACAAAGTGTCGTTACTAACATATTTCAAAATGTTACAGTAAAGCGAAAAAAGTGTCTTTTAGTGTGATCTAATAGCTGAGGCCACAAACGCCATATCCAAACTACTTCCATTTAAATCCCGAATAACTTATGAAAAGGAATGCAAAAATTTTCAAAAATGGAAGCAATTAAAAAACGTGCGAGAAGAAATAAAGTTTTTAGCCTATCCTTGCTGTTAAAGTATCATTTAATCTGCCTTTGCGGTTAAAGTACTATTTTAATTACTATTTTTGATAGATATAAGGCAATTTTAACAGTTGCTATGGAAAAAAAATAAAAAGTTAGGTTTGTCATTTATTTTGTCTGCTACAACATAAGAGCCTTTGCTGTTACAGTTACAACAATGTGAGAAATTTTAGATCGTACTACGAGACGAAGATATTTTTTTTTCGCTCTAGTGTATATAAAATTTTCAAAAAACTTACACTCACAAATACTCATTTTGCGCATTTTCTATAAAAATAACTAAACAGGATTGTTAAAAATAAACTGTTAGATGTTTGAGGCATTGAATAACAGGCGTGTATTGATGTTTTTAATTGATTTATTACGTCTAGAGGTCGGCCATCTTCTTGAAGGAAATTAGAACGTACACAAAGGCATCTCCGAATGCCGGAAGTGGCGGAAGTCTTGTCCAGGAAGTCGCTTTCAATGGGGAAAATCGAATTTTTAATAAACAACACAGAGAGTTGATTTTTTTCTAAACTACGCAGAATATAAAAAAAACTATTGTTGTTAAAAAATTAATTATAATTATTATTATAAGTTATCTCAATACAAAAAAAGGATTTGATTAAACTCCAGTCAAACTATAATAATACAGGTCAAACATTTGAACTTGGAATTCTCTAAATTGGATAATAATTTATTGGGGCACTTCCTGCAGGATCTAATAAATACCTGGAATTCTTCCAAGACAGAAATATATTTTACTTAATATATTTCATTAATGAAAGATTCTCCCAAGGAAGGGGGAGTGAGATTCTAAGAAATATCGCTTCTTTGATAGCCTGTAGGGAATATAACAGACCCTTTCACTTTCATTTTTATCTTCTAACCCTCATTTCATTCAATGAATAAAAAAGAAATAAAAATTGCAACACTTAAGAACCTTTTTACGGTTCATAAATGTTTTTTTTTTCAAATAATATGGAAATATAAATCAAATTAATTTGATGGTTTGTTATCTTTTAAATATTAAAAAGAAATGGGGGCTTTGTCAGGCAAGACTGACAGTCAAGCAGTGATATAGGCGCTGAACTCATCTACCATATCCTCCAAAATAGTAGAAAAAACATACGACAAGTTAACCTACAGTGTCTTAGACCCTCGAAGAAGTTTTTCACAACTAACGATCGAGAAATATCAATTCAATATTTTTTTTTCAATATTCATTCAAATTTAGTCCAAACATAAAAAATAGAGGTTCGATAAGAAGGGATTTTTCGAAACTCGAATTCTAAGGGGGTGAAACCACCCCTCAAATAATTGTTTTTTCGGAAAAACTCTTAAACACGTATATTTTATTTTGTTGTTTTACATATTTTAAGATCTTTTAAAAATTTATACAGGGTGTTTCATAAAATATGACCATTGAGTAATCATGATTCTGCTTAAACTGCTTGACTTTTAAAGCTGATTTTTGGCAAACGGATTGACTGTGGGGTGTAGAGGTTCGATAAGGAGGGGTTTCTCGAATCTCAAATTCCAAGAGGGTGAAAACGCCCCTCAAATATTACAATACTTGTTATTTAAAAAACGGTTAGTCTTTCGGGAAAACGCTTGGACACGCATAATTTATTTTGTTTTTTTTTACATATTTTGAATTTTTTTAAAAAATCATACAGGATTTTCCAAAAAGTTGGGTAAATGATTAACCACGATTCTGCTTAAAACGTAAAAAGCTTATTTTTGGCAAACGGATTTTTCGAAAGTCAAATTCCAACGAGATGAAACTACCCCTCAAATATTACCAAGTTATATAATAATATCGCCATATTTTTTTTTCGCATGCTGACATAAATGTGAGAAAATTTTATCCAGTTTGTATGTTAATGGAAATTCTTGCTTTGCTTTATCATTACCATTACAAATGATTAATTTAACGCGAACGAAGTCGCGGGTACGCGCTAGTGAAGCTATAAGAAACAACGGTAAATGCAGAATCTGTGGGGAAAATGGGGAAACTGAGTGCCCCGAGACGACAACCATTTATCCCAAAGACTTTGGTACTACTGATATCAGAGATGGAGAACTAACCTATGTAAAACCGTCTCAGATACTGGCTTTTGTCAAAGCCCTAAGACTGTACGATGAGTTATACAACCAACCAAATAACCCAACTCTTTAATGATAAATAATGAAAATAAAAATGTTTTTTAAAATGCTTATTAAAAATAAAATAAATTTTACTTATGCATATCCACATAATATATTAAAATTCTCTTTTTTATAGGAATATTTTTTATGCTTCTATTATACGTTCAAGAAAGCGCAGAATTTCATTTGCAATTCTAAAATTAGACCAAGCATATTTATTTACCGCGGAACTCCGACCGAGAGGGTGACATTTGATATTTCTACAACCCCCTTGTGCTTGGCGGTCTTGTAAACCCCCTGTGGACGTTTACTTGACCCTCAGCTGAAACTTGCCACTCGGGCAAGTTTGCATTAGTTGGCAATAAAATCTTTGGACACGTAACATACGAGCATTTATGGACGGATAGATGTAGATACGAGGGTACATTAAAGAGTTTTTATTTAAGTTTACTACTTCAGTCTACGTAAACTAAAAAATTGTGAGTGTTCAATAATGTCACAAATTAATAATTTATATTTCTACATTCCCGATAATTACATTTTACTGACTTACAGCTTTTTGTTTTCTATCTATTTTTAGATATATGGCTATCATGACACCTCTGAAACCACGAATGGGTAGAATGGTAACACTGATCCTAGCTTTGCTGACGTGGATCTTGGGAATCATCATAGGTATGCCGTCCTTGCTGTTTTACAAGACTTACCGAACGACTTACTCCAATGGAGAAGACCGGATAGTATGTTATCCAGAATGGCCAGATGGATACAGCAGTGAGAGCGTCTACGAATACTAGTAAGCGTGTCTTTTTTTCTATAAAATAATGTAAGCCCAATTCAATCTCCTGAGGTATTCATTGGGGAGACCTCTTCATGTGTCTTAGACCATTGGAGAACCAATTCCAGTTTTTTTTTAGTTTCTTTTATTATCAATCATGGCCTACTAATAAATCAATTAGTAAAAATCTATACTAATATATAAAATCCTTAAGTGACTGACATACTGATTAATCACGATCCTGCTCAAGCCACTCAACGTAACAAACTCAATTTTGGCATACAGGTTGATTCTAGGGTGTAGAGGTTCGATAAGAAGGGATTTCTCGAAATTCCAGTTCCAAGAGGGTGAAACCACCCCTCAAATATTACAATATTTGTTATTTAAAAAACGGTCAAGTTTCCGAAAAAGCGCTTAAACACGTATATTTTATTTGGTTTTTCTACATATTTTAAGATTTTTTTAAAATGTATACAGGGTGTTTCGTAAAATCTGGTCATTGATTAATCACGATCCTACTTAAAGCGCTTGTCGTAAAAAGCTGATTTTTGGAAAACAGATTGACTTTAGGGTGTAGAGGTTCGATAAAACGGGATTTTTCGAAACCCGAATTCTAAGGGGGTGAAACTATCCCTCAAATATTAAAATATTTTTTAATTAAAAACCGGTGAGTTTTTCGGAAAAACTCTTAAGCACGTATATTTTATTTTGTTGTTTTACATATTTTAAGATTTTTTATAAATTTATACAGGGTGTTTCATAAAATATGACCAATGAGTAATCACGATTCTGCTTAATCTGCTTGACGTTTAAAGCTGATTTTTGGCAAACCGATTGACTGTGGGGTGTAGAGGTTCGATAAGGAAGGGTTTCTCGAATCTCAAATTCCAAGAGGGTGAAAACGCCCCCCAAATATTACAATATTTGTTATTTAAAAAACGGTTAGTCTTTCGGGGAAACGCTTGAACAAGCATAATTTATTTGGTTTTTTTACATATTTTGAAATTTTTTAAAAAATCATACAGGGTGTTCCAAAAAGTTGGGTAATTTCTTAACCTTTCTTTAAAAAGCTTATTTTTCGAATGTCAAATTCCAACGAGATGAAACTACCCCTCAAATATTACCAAGTTATATAATAATATCGCCATATTGTTTTTTCTCATGCTGACATAAATGTGAGAAAATTTTATCCAGTTTGCATGTTAATGGAAATTCTTGCTTTGCTTTATCATCACCATTACAAATGATTAATTCGACGCGAACGAAGTCGCTGGTACACGCTAGTATTTTATAAATATACAGGGTGTTCCGTTTAAGAAAACATAACTTTAGCTCACATCTTTAAAATTATGCTTTTCGTAGAATAACAACGCCACTGTATTCTACGTAAAACAATAACAGGGATACGGGGGGTGTCCCAAATTGCAAAATATTCAAAAAGACCCTGTAGCTCAGAAACGAAGAGGGCTATAAAAATTTTGTTTAGCGCATCTTCCGTTTGACAAAAAAGTGAGATAGGTTTGTACAAACCGCACCCTTCTAGCTTCACTAATACGGAGAGATACCGTATATGATTTCAACGAAAATAGGACACCCTGTACAGTAATTTGTAACAATCAACTTGTAAACAAGTAATCCAGAAGTTCTGATGCGTCGTTTTATCCAGAATGAGGAAAATTCTATTTGCATTTTTCTTTATGCCGAACGAATCCAATCGGAACAGCAACAGACGAAGCCAGCTAAGGAAGGACAAGTTGGAAATTTAATTTAGACGGAAAACCCTGAGTTTCCAGTTAGAGAAAAGCGCAGGAAACCATCTCCATCAATCAAAATCGGGAAATAGACGAGCTAGATGGAAAAGTATCCGGTTAACGATGGAAGTTGAGTCGAGAGAATGAATTCTTCGCGAAATAAGTGTTTTCCGAAAATAACTCGCCAAGGTTTTGTCGTTTGTGCCGTTTGTACAAAGTTTTCTCGAAGTAAATCGCGTGTTTTTGTTTGTGTTTAACGCGAAGGAATTCCGGCAGCTTTCCGTAAAAGATCAAAAGATAGATTTCACGTAGACTTGTCTGCATTGAATTACTTATCGTTAAGTTGCAAGTTTAAGCAGTGAGAAAGTTACGGTATTACTACGTTTCAAACTTTCTGACTAAAATTTATACGTGTGAATATCTTTTCCAGACTGATATTAAGACGTAAAGACAATAATGTTATTGAATAATAAATTTATACCCCCTAACTAAAGAATCATACTTCTTCAGCTAATGGTAAGCTGCTGATAGACACATTCCATCCAGTTTGAAAGGACCCAGTCCAGGAAAATTTTCTCGTTATAATTCGGTTTTAATATATTTTTTTCATGATAATAATGTAATTTAATAATGAATTTATACCCCCCAACCGAAGAATCATACTTCTTCAGCTATTGGTAACTGCTGATGGACACATGCCATCCAGTTCGAATGGACCAAGTCCATGAAAGTTTTCTCGTTATAATTCGGTTTTAATATATTCTTTTGATGATAATAATGGTATTTAATAATGAATTCATACCCCCAATCGAAGAATCATACTTCTTCAGCTATTGGTAACTGCTGATGGACACATTCCATCCAGTTCGAAAGGACCCATTACAGAAAAGTTTTCTTCATATAATTCGGTTTTAATATATTCTTTTGATGATAATAATGGTATTTAATAATGAATTCATACCCCCCAATCGAAGAATCATACTTCTTCAGCTATTGGTAACTGCTGATGGACACATGTCATCCAGTTCGAAAGGACCCAGTCCATGAAAGTTTTCACGTTATAATTCAGTTTTAATATATTCTTTTGATGATAATAATGTTATTTAATAATGCATTTACACCCCATAACCGAAGAATCATACTTCTTCAGCTATTGGTAACTGCTGATGGACACATGCCATCCAGTTCGAAAGAACACAGACCTGAAATGTTTTCTCGTTATAATTTGGTTTTAATATATTCTTTTGATGATAATAATGGTATTTAATAATGAATTCATACCCCCAATCGAAGAATCATGCTTCTTCAGCTATTGGTAACTGCTGATGGACACATTCCATCCAGTTCGAAAGGACCCAGTCCATGAAAGTTTTCTCGTTATAATTCGGTTTTAATATATTGTTTTGATGATAATAATGTTATTTAATAATGCATTTACACCCTATAACCGAAGAATCATACTTCTTCAGCTATTGGTAACTGCTGATGGACACATGCCATCCAGTTCGAAAGGACCCAGTCCAGGAAGGTTTTCTCGTTATAATTCGCATTTAATACATTTTTTTAATGATAATAATGTTATTTAATAATGAATGTATACCCTCCAACCGAAGAATCATACTTCTTCAGCTATTGGTAACTGCTGATGGACACATGCCATCCAGTTCGAAAGGACCCAGTCCAGGAAGGTTTTCTCGTTATAATTCGCATTTAATACATTTTTTTAATGATAATAATGTTATTTAATAATGAATGTATACCCTCCAACCGAAGAATCATACTTCTTCAGCTATTGGTAACTGCTGATGGACACATTCCATCCAGTTCGAAAGGACCCATTACAGAAAAGTTTTCTTCATATAATTCGGTTTTAATATATTCTTTTGATGATAATAATGGTATTTAATAATGAATTTTACCCCCAATCGAAGAATCATACTTCTTCAGCTATTGGTAACTGCTGATGGACACATGTCATCCAGTTCGAAAGGACCCAGTCCATGAAAGTTTTCACGTTATAATTCAGTTTTAATATATTCTTTTGATGATAATAATGTTATTTAATAATGCATTTACACCCCATAACCGAAGAATCATACTTCTTCAGCTATTGGTAACTGCTGATGGACACATGCCATCCAGTTCGAAAGAACACAGACCTGAAATATTTTCTCGTTATAATTTGGTTTTAATATATTCTTTTGATGATAATAATGGTATTTAATAATGAATTCATACCCCCCAATCGAAGAATCATGCTTCTTCAGCTATTGGTAACTGCTGATGGACACATTCCATCCAGTTCGAAAGGACCCAGTCCATGAAAGTTTTCTCGTTATAATTCGGTTTTAATATATTGTTTTGATGATAATAATGTTATTTAATAATGCATTTACACCCTATAACCGAAGAATCATACTTCTTCAGCTATTGGTAACTGCTGATGGACACATGCCATCCAGTTCGAAAGGACCCAGTCCAGGAAGGTTTTCTCGTTATAATTCGCATTTAATACATTTTTTTAATGATAATAATGTTATTTAATAATGAATGTATACCCTCCAACCGAAGAATCATACTTCTTCAGCTATTGGTAACTGCTGATGGACACATGCCATCCAGTTCGAAAGGACCCAGTCCAGATAAGTTTTCTCGTTATAATTTGGTTTTAATATATTCTTTTGATTATAATAATGTTATTTAATAATGCATTTACACCCCATAACCGAAGAATCATACTTCTTCAGCTATAGGTAACTGCTGATGGACACATGCCATCCAGTTCGAAAGGACCCAGTCCAGGAAGGTTTTCGCGTTATAATTCGCATTTAATATGTTCTTTTGATGATAATAATGTTATTTAATAATGAATTTATACCCTCCAACCGAAGAATCATACTTCTTCAGCTATTGGTAACTGCTGATGGACACATGCCATCCAGTTCGAAAGGACCCAGTCCAGAAAAGTTTTCTTGTTATAATTTGGTTTTAATATATTTTTTGATGATAATAATGTTATTTAATAATGCAGTTATACCCCACAACCGAAGAATCATACTTCTTCAGCTATTGGTAACTGCTGATGGACACATGCCATCCAGTTCGAAAGGACCCAGTCCAGAAAAGTTTTCTTGTTATAATTTGGTTTTAATATATTTTTTGATGATAATAATGTTATTTAATAATGCAGTTATACCCCACAACCGAAGAATCATGCTTCTTCAGCTATTGGTAACTGCTGATGGACACATTCCATCCAGTTCGAAA